TTCTCAGATGTAAAATCCTAGATTCATGAACTGTTGGCACTTATAATCCCATTCATTACACCAAATTTCAGACTTATAGGAGATAATCTATAGGAATGAAAAGATTGCAGTTTTTAGAGGCATTAAAACTGAACTTGACTGTTGACATGACATTGTGACCTGACCTTAGGTGACCTGTGCTGGATTTTTATGCACGATGCAAAATTGATGTACAACAAGATATACCGCTGCTTTCGCGGCGCTGCGCGCCGAGGTTTTTCTCCGGGCACACGAAAAAACCGGGAGTGTGGCTAAAAACACCCCTACCCATCAAGACGAAGACCGGAAACCCGACCCCCCCCCCCACTCAAAAATCCGTGGCGACGCCCCTGTGGTCAGGTCAAAGGTCAGGTCACCAGAGGTCATTGAGGAAAAATTTCGCTGATTTTCACGTTGAATGTCGACAATTTCCAAGAAGCCAACGCATAACTCGGGAACCAATAGAGCTACAGCGCCGCGGAAAAGGGCATTCGATAGCCCTATGTATGTACGTGATACGTCCTTTCTGAGTAATTCTCTCATATTTGTCCTAACGTCAACGGTTTTCCCTGCAGGGGGCAAAAACTGCCAAAACAGCCGATTTTGTCGGAAAGTTTTTTGCAATAACTTTTGACTCAACCCTTGCACGACTAGCTTACTTTTACCGGCATCGTGTTTCTCTCGTCAAGACGCATCGAATGAACTATAATTTCACCTTGAAAGGTCAACTTGAAAATTTGACCTTAGGTCAAGGTCATGACCTGACCGGAAAGGGTCCTGTTGCAAATCAGTCGATCCGTATCGTCGAGCTGAACACATCTCAGGAGTTTTCATCGCTCTAGCACGCCTCTATCAGAAGGTACCCGCGAAAAAAGCTTTTAGATACCATTCGTGACCTGAGATGACCTCAGGAGTCAGGGGCATAAACAAGGTTCACGGACACCATTTCCATGTTCAGTGTGTCTAAGTTACTTGTAATTCAGTGTTTGGGAGTGTTTATAATGGCTCTCGTCTAAAAGAGGCGCATTTCAGTTTTCTCCCATTGGCTCAGGTATAGGTAATGGGGAGGTCGTAAAATTGACCTGACCGTAGGTCATTGATATCGAAATTCTTAGAGATATCTTTTGTACACACTATTGCTCTTAGCAATCGCTGAAAGTTTTAAAGTGATCGGTCACTCGCTGTAGCTATGGCAGACATTGAAACTTGTTATGAGGTGAGGTCACTAGCAACCATTTGAACATTTACGAAGTAGTGTTGGTGCCTTCGTAACATGTTACGAAGCTGTCAGAGGCGGTTAACACCTTCGACGAATACCCGTCAGGACCCCCACTGGTTGACCTGACCTGACCTGACCCGACCTGGCCTAAATGCATGAAGACGTCATGTGTGATCAAAACTAACATGATATTCGTGATCCGCACCCCGAAAAAAATCCATAGCCGCCACACTTTACGACGTTCACAAGCAGCGAAACCAACAAAACCATCAACAAAGGCACAATTATCGGCAAAACCGGCGGAACCAGGGCACGACCCATGAAGTCGAAACCGACTAATTACAATGTAGTTGGTCAATGGTCCATAGCACTCACCTTTGCTGATAACGGACGGCCTCGATTTGGTAAGTAGACCACAGAGGGACATTTATCGTCTTGAACACGGCTAAAACCTGGAAAATAAATACAAATATGGCCTCTCAACTGGACGGGCTCAGCAGATGCGGCGCACAAGCCGGTATCCAAAAGTCGGCCAAATAACTGCCCCTCATCCCACAATTTTAGAAAACAAGATGGTTTCAACTCTAAATACAATAAACAATGAAAGGGGCAAGTCCCACTAGAAACCGAGCGCCCAAAAGTTGACGCCACCAATGAAGGAAAAGTCAGACATGGCTCATGCTCTTTATTGATATATAATTACGAGTTACGAGTCTAGACTCATTGTTGGACTACTGGCCGTCTAGCTGAGCCGCCAGCAGTCCAGAAAGACTGGAAAGGGTGACATTGATCGGCACGGCCGTGAGAGCGCACTGTCAGCCTTTGTAGAACACACAAACGTATATATGTTACAGTTAGTATGCGAAATCCGTTAGTTTGCAACGAAACTAGTTGCGTTGCAAACTAACGGATTTCGCATACTAACTGTAACATATATACCTACTTCAGAGATTTATTGGTAGGGCTCTAATCGTTCATTTTAGGGATACAAAAGCCATTCTTTACCTGCAAAGTCGTAAAGCTTATGATAAAATGCCGAAATCATTTGTAGGACTCGGGTCGAACCAAGCCCATATAAAAAAGCTTTTATATGGGCCTTTGTTGTTTCAGTGTCGTATTGTGCAAATTGCAGCATAGCCTGCAATCAGTTTCTGTTCGGACGCAGTTCTCCCGGTGGTTGTATATAGGGCGGAGGAGCTCCCGAGGCGAAAGATAGAATACCTATCGCATAATTCGATACGCTATTTTACCTATGTAAATCATGAGCTCAAGTGTGAGAACCGGCGCCTGAAGCTCGACATGTATACGAGTCTCAAATCGCGCATAGTTGCGCTTGAGACGGCGACTGCAGCCAGTTGAGGTCAGAATGAATTACCTCAAAAAGCGAGCATTTATGTGTCACCATGCCGGTCCGGCCGCCACCGGCCGGTTCAACAGTTAGCGACGCGACGACGACGACGACGCACACCAGTTCGAACCGACTGCATATGCAGACACAAACTCTGAGTGAACTACACGATTCGCAGGAACATTGTTGGTCCGATTGCTCTGCTACACCAGTTCACCGGTTCCAACCGTCACCCCTCCTCTCTCCACGCAAGGGAGCGACAATCAGCTGATCGCCGGTCGGCGAGGTCAAAGTTCATCCCGCCGAGACAGTCGGGGGAGGGGGGGGGGGCACACCACGTAGGGCCTTGACGCAACGCGGCAGGGGAGAGGGCTCCAGGCAGTGACGCGAAAACAGAAAGGCTTAACAGTCAACATATAAGCGCCACTACACCATAGAATGAGTTTCTTCCGATAGATTCATTGCAATCCCATGCCGTCCCCATGAACGCACTTACCTCGTCTATTGAGTCGTATCAGCGCAACCACTCCGCAACCAGCACAAGACCGATACAGCCGCCAGTCTACCCCACACTGAGACTGGTCGCGTCTGGCGGTGGATGAACTGGGATGCCAGATCCCTGCGCATAGCGCCACCTTGGATACCTATGAAAATAAACATTCATTGGACTCGTCCGCCACCGTATGGTAATGGTTGACCCTAGAGGTGGGTGGGTGCGAGATGTGATTGGCAGGACTATGTTTTAACCCACGAGCCGCTGGGGGGGGGGGCATAAAGTTGCCCCCCTTTACGTTTTGTAAAATATCTCCGAAACCTGATGAGCTACGAACGTGAAACTTGGCATAGCTTCAAATGAATACCTAGGCAATGTTTGAGGAAAGTTTGGTGGTTGTAGCACCTAAGATGACGTCACAGTGACGTCATAAAGTTTTGTCGTTTTCCGATATGGACCGTTTCTGATGACGCTGAGCATGAAACTCGGCTGTAAATGAACTAGACAGCACCTGCTGTCATCCTAAAACATGTTACTACACTTCCATCTAGTTTCTGACCAATAATCGGCCCTTTATATTCGGTCCCATATATGTGATGTATCGTGAGGAATATGAGAGTCGCAAATCTATAATTTCACTTATGACGTCACTGTGACGTCATTTCAAATGGGATCGACACCAAATTTGTACACCACCTCGGCTAGGTATTCAGGAAGATGTGTGCAAAGTTTCGCTTCTCTATCTCTTCGCGTTGCGACGATATCGTCGCAGAAGTAAAGGGGGGGGGGCAACTTTATGCCCCCCCCCCAGCGGCCGGCGGGTGGCGCGGAGGCCCAGCGGCCGCCGGGTTAAGACCTCGTCTTGGTAGTGATAGATGAAATCAGCATTGAAATGCTTGTAGGCTGTTGTTGGTTCCCTAACTACATAGATGCAAAAAAAAAAACTGGCGTAGATGTGGCTCGGTTGAATCAGACACCAGCCGTGACCTTGATATGTCGTGGATCAGATTTGACATTGATCAACTGTCGCTATCCACACATGACGTTGAATTACCGATAGCCATACGTGACCTTGACCTTTCGCGGACCATGTCTACGTAGTCACAAGGGTCTCCAACGGTGGTTTTGGTCTCACATGGACCATCAACACATGGACCCGTTTCCATGGACATCACTGATCCGGATCAGTGCCCCGAAAGGGATTAGGCTGCCCAAGGAAACACCCGCAATCCCTTACTGGTGATCTCGATTCGAGTCCCTTGCCCATGGAAAAGTGATCATGAGGAATATGGTCCATAAAGAGCGTATTTCCTGCGCCTACACGGATTGGAGGTTGTGCAGTCAGTCCCAGATGTTTATTGTCATTTGTCGGCCGGTCTGTCTGTCGCCACCGAGTGTGGTGCGCGGTGTCAGAGGTTAGGTGTGTCCGCACGTGCTGCCGGCCGCGTGACGTAACCTTTGACCTTTGAGTGGCCTTCTGCGGTATGACGGATGCGCGCGCGCGCCCGTAGTTCGAACCATGAGGCGCAAAAACGTGAAGTCATTTTTAGGATGGCGACTTGGTGCCTAATGAGGACCGCAAAATTAGTTCTAGGACTTCTTTCGGTTATGACATATGAAAGGAATTTTATGGAACGTTATTCCTATAATCGTGCGAATTAATTGTTATCACTGATTGTAATAAAATCGTAGGAATAATATACTTCAAATCAGCGCACAGTAGATTTGTATGAAAGAAAACAATATAACAATGTTTCGATTTATCGTTGCATTGTCCTCCAAACGCAAAAGTCGTGGAAACGACATGCGGGTTATACCTTTTGCTACGCTTGGTTAATTAACATACTGCTGTCGTGATACCTATAACCTATGTTAATTATAATATAAAACCGTCGAGAGCCTACTAAGCATTAAACCAAGAATTGGATGCAACCTTTTTTATTTCGAACTGCGTGCTGCTCTCAATTGAGCAGTAGCCATAACAGCCTTCATATGGGCCGCTGCGTTCTCGCTCGTGATTGGTAATTCACTTTGACCTCCGACTGATTCACTTTGACCTCCCATTGATTCACTTTGACCTTGACCGGGACGACGAGGTTGAGCACGAGCTTGATGAGCAACTGTCTCCCTTGCACTTCCTGCGCCTCCCCTTGCAGCGTCTCCTGGGTCGTCCCCTCTCTTCGACGATTTCCAAACAGACTGGCCTGCCATGGTCATCCAGCGAACACGACCTTCCAGGGCAGACCTCGGCACAGGTGGCGGGCAGGACGATCGGCGCCGGGCGCGGCTGGGGGTACACCTTTGGATTGTGTTGCTGAGGGGGCTCGTACACCACCGGGGGGTGCTGAGGCTCCGGGTAGACAGGGCCCTGTGGTTCAGGGTAGGGACCGGTACCTACAGGCACTGGAACGGGAATGAAGACAGGGCGCGCCGGCTGCTGGTCAACAATCCTCACACGGTCGCACTCGCAGAAACACTTGGACCGCGACCTCGACCGCGACTTGGAACGCGATTTCGACCGCGATTTGGACCGTGATTTAGACCGTGACTTGGAGCGCGACCTGCGCCGGCGTTTGCAGCGCTTTCCGCTCTTGGTCCTACAGCGGCAGTGTTGGTAAGGGTCGTCATTCAGGCGCGGAGGAGGTGGAACTGGACATCCGCCACCTCCTCCCGAGTGATCCGAGCATCGTTTGCGCGGACAACGGTCACCACCACAGCCGGGCGAGGCTGCCGGTCAGAGGGGGGGGGGGGGCAGTGAGGTCAAGGGGGAGGGTCAGTGGGGTCAGCAGATGGGTCAGTTAGATCAAAGACACAGTCGGGTCAGATATGGCGGGTCATGATCATGACAAAGGGCCAGGGGGGGGGGGGAACATAATAACCGACAGGAAAAGGAAGCTTTCGTCTGTTTCAAAAGACTATTGCAGAGACGAGAGCCAAGAGGTGCTTACTTCGTCAAAAAGCGATAGGCACTAGGCCGCTACAGCTGAAACATGAAAACTTGTATTTAAAGTTATATTAAGCATGAGCCAATTATTATTTACCCGTCCAGTTTATGAAAAACCAAGTTTATTTTCTAGAATGTACCCGTATGTGCAACTAACACCTTCTACATATTCAAAGCTGTATATTCAAAGCTGTAGGCATTGTTGTTTTCAGTCAGTTTCTAGGTTTACTTTATCATGCATTTGCACAGCAATTGCGGAATTTAACTATTCAAGCGCATCACTTCAGTTCTGCTTGACAAAGACAGAACTGATATATCTCACCGGCTGGAGCGGCGTCGGAGAGTGCCACCCACACCGCCAGCAGCAGCAGCGGCTGCAGCCAGCGCAGACGTGCCATGGTGCCTCCGGCTCACGGCAGTAGCTGTCCTGCCGTCGACCCCGACTTTATACCGGCTCAGCCCGAGCTGTCAGCGACCCCTCGTGACCCCACCGGTGACCGATTCCGGGTGGCACTGTCATGGCGGACAAACTGTCACGGCCGGCGGGCTGTCATCAGATGCCATCGAGACGAGACATCACGCGCTGCCAGAAGAGGGTGATGGAGAGTGATTTGATTTGTGGTGGATTGTGATCAGTAGATCATGTAGCCTGTTACGGCTGCGTCTAAGTACGTAATTTTTCCCCGCGCTTTCTGTTGCTAGGCTTTATAATAGTTCTTGAATAATGGGGCAATTTATCCAAAAAGGTTAACTTAAAACACTACGCTGCAAATTTTGTTGCTGCCCTATAAGAGCTTGACCTTTGCCCTCATCTAAAGAATGACTGCATCTATCTAGAAGTCGAGCATCTTTCAAATGTAGCTGCCCGCTTGTCGCTACGTGGCCATGGGCTCAATTTTATCAAATACTGTGCTTCTAGTCTTCTATGCATAATATTTAATAAGACGTATAATATTTAAGAATTCCAGTGTTAGCAAATGCTTGCAGCTTATCTAAGTCAATGCCTAGGAACGTTAAAAAAAGGATAGTGGAATGTGTAAAACAGACCAGTTTTTAAGTTAACAACCGATCTAAAATGGAGGGCGACATTCCCGTGCACATTCTCAAGCTCTGCTTCGATTTTATCGGGCCAGTATTGCTACAAATTATTAATACTAGCATTGTTACAGAGACCGTGCCTTCCAGCTGGAAGTGTGCAACTGTCATCCCCATTCACAAAAAGGGTGATCCGTCAAACGCTTCAAATTTCAGACCAGTCACGACGGTTCCAGCGATCTGTAAAATAGTCGAGAAATTGGTTCATGGTCAAATAATCAATTATCTCAAGCATTATCATCTTTTTAGTACAGACCAACATGGATTCAGAGAAAATCACTCTACCTGTACGGCGCTCATATCAATCACTGATGAAATATTAAAAGGAATGGACCAATCTGAAGTAACTTTATTAACATTGATTGATCTTAGTCGCTGTTTTGATGTTATTGACCACAGCATGCTGATAACAAAATTGAAACAGCTTCAAATTTCGACCGGATGGATCCAGAGTTACCTTGAGGGGCACACACAACGCGTCAGAATAGACCAAACACTGTCTTCATCTCAAAATATCGGTATTGGAACGTTCCAGGGATCATGCTTGGGACCGCTTCTGTTCAATATTTTCAGCAACGATTTCTCATGTTTTATCCCAACGCACATGAATGGCCTTTGTGTCACTTTAGTTCGATACGCTGACGATGCCCAGATAGCTATCACAGGACCTCGCAACAAACTGTCTGAGATGCGGGCTTCACTTGAAACAGTGTTTGATATCGCTTGTACATGGTTTTTGCAACATGGTATAAAGGTGAACGCAGGCAAAACCGAGATGATTCTGTGTGGAGACAGTCGACAGCTTCGGCAGGTTGACTCTCCATCAATAGAGTTTATGGGTGAAACGCTGAGATGTTCGCAAACAGTGAAAAACCTAGGAGTTGTTATGGACCCGTCACTGTCTTACAATTGTCACATCGATCGAATTGTTAAAAAGTGCATCGGCATCCTTATCGGTATACTTAATGTTAAATATGCCCTACCTAAAGCATTGCTTCCGAAAATAATCGACGCCCTCGTTTTCTCTCATGTAAGGTACTGTGCACAAGTGAATGGCAGCGCAAATCAGTCAAATGTGTCCAAAATCCAAAAAATATTTAACTTCGCTGCAAGGGTGATTTCAGGCCGTAGAAAATATGATCATATTAGTAGCGTTTTAAGCGAATTAGGCTGGCTATCCGCCCACCAGTTAGTTATTTATTCAGATATCTGTTTGATCCATGACATTATCAGAACCGGCAGACCTCACATGATCCGATCATCACTGGTGTTTAACCGCGAGAGAGCTGCCCACGACACCAGACAGTCAACTCAACTTAGCTTACCGCGCGTTAAAACAAACTATGGAAACAGGCAATTCATGTACCGTGCAGCTCAAAAGTATAACAAATTTATAATTTCGAAGGGCTTGTCCAGTACATCCAGGCGAACGGTGCGCAGAAACGCACGTATATCGATTCAGGCAGATGCAAGGTGATCGGTCCGCATGTTGTGATCTGGCAGGCTTACATGTGTACCTAATTGAGTGTGCTTTATGACCTGAGTGTGAATACTCTTATTTTACTGTATCTTGTCTAGGAACTGTGCCTCGACTGAAAAGCCCTCTTTGAGTGGATGTCGTTGTATGTTTAAATAAATAAACGCAGCTCCACCGTGTGCAGAAGATTGTGAACTTTTGCACACGGGTCGTGACCCGTAAAAGGAGGTACGACCATGTGTCCGGAGCTATACGGCAGCTGGGGTGGTTCACAGCTAAACAGCTGGTATCGTACCACGCAGTAGGTATATGCCGTCGAGCGTGTGATTGTGTCCGGTCAGCCCGAGTATTTAAGACAGACCATCGGACCCAGAGCCTGCCAGCGGCACCAGCACCAAACGAGACGAGCCGATTCGTTCACCCTCCCCGCTATTCGCACAGAGTCTGGGAGACGCCGTCTTTGTTACCGAGGTGTGTCGCTGATGAATGACATGCGCATAGAGCCCGGCATGCCGGCATTTAAGGCTACGTTGAGGCGGGCTATTATGTCGCTATAGGCTGCTGAATGCAGCACAGATGTGTCCGAGTCGCTGATAGTCAGTTTCGATGTGTTTGTATAATTGTGGTGATGGATATATGCTTGTGTGCGTGTGTCATACTTTCCATTTTGTTTCACCGTATGACGTGACTGAGCGGAAAGCCACCGTTTTGTGTGGACCTCATTCGAATACATCTGAATCTGAATCTGAAAATTTGATTTTAGGCAGTTTTAATATGTCTCAAATGAATATCATTTATGTCACTCATAAGGCTGACTAAGGAGGTGACATTTACCTAACAAAGGGCTCGACATTGATTCAACGCTATGCACAAGAACTATCAAAATGGACGCCACCGTTTGGGTCGCAGGTGGGGGAGAGGACAGAAACACGAGGTCACGCCACTGAGGTGGCTCGGTGCGCAGTATCCATGACCTTTCGCCCCGCGCTTTGTCAGTCTCGGGTCGGTCAGTGACGCTAGTCGGATCTTGTCTAAAGTCATGACGTCATTACACCAAGTCGCGCTGATTTTTACGTCGCCACGAAACCAGACACAGATGAAAAAAAACGCTGCAGAGTGGTGTATATTGTCAGGAGGTTCGGTGAGCGTTGACATTTCAACTGACAAGGTGACAATTGACGGCGGTGCTGTAAGGGAATTAATCAATAATCGTATGTAGATCACGAACTGGAGTAAAATGCTATATACGTCCGGGAGGGAGGAAGCGATTTGCGATTATAGGAATCGACGGTGTTTGATTAGATCAATTATGACATATAGGTAGAAAATGTAATATGCTAAAAGCATTATTTTGAGTTGACGTGAGGCGTGTGAAGAATACAGGTTGGTCCGACGAGGACTGAGTTGAGCCTTTTTCAAGTTTCGGTAGCTGTTTGCTTGAACACCAGTAGGCAGTTTATCACAAAATGCCGATTAAACAATAGGCATGACGCAGCTATATTTCTCAAATAAACCTATTATTTTATTTTTCATCCACATATCCATGAAGAAGCTTAAAAAGTGATAGAGAATTGCCCACATCTTACATTATATTAAATAGGATCATAGAGCCGACTTGCAGTTTTGTCTTGAGATACATAATGATGGATCGAACTCGATCAGCTCTACGCACATCTCTGCAGTGTCTGTATTGCCTCGTTTCCATTTACTCTCGACATGTTAACTGCGTGTTCTCGGAAGGAGACCGATAGGTACCCCGGCCCGCTGTTCCCATCCCACCTGTTGGTAATTAGAACGGTAATGAGGATATGGCATCTGTTGTCACCATGTGGCAGTCCGGTCTGTTCACTCAGGGGTCATTCACTGCAGTGTTCGCCACGGGCCGCAAAACCCTAGTCCAGCTCAGCCCAGGCCCATGGGTTCACAGCCCGGCCCAGCCCGAGCCCATTCATGGTAAAAGCGTCAAAGCCCAGCCCGGCCCAGCCCGTCAAAAATGAATGGGTTAAAAATTATTGACCCCACACAGGTACCCAAAGGTAACGAAGAAACAATATTTTGCGAGCCGCATGCGCAATGCACATTGCACGCGTGCTTGATTAACTCGTTTTTGAGTCTTGCACAGTAATAAGCTATGCAGTTCTAGTTTTTGTCTCAGTTGCGAACCCCTGACTCCACTTAACAGTTCTTGGCCCAGCCCATCCACAGCCCATCAATCCTTCATATTTGAGGGCCCAGCCCAGCCCGTAGCCCATTGGGCTGGCCCGGCCCATGGCGAACACTGATTCACTGACACACGACTAAAAAGACAGAGGTCGATGAGCTTCAAAGACTGCTATTTCTTTGAGGTACTCATCGGTGTCACTATATGAGTTCCTGTCACTCATCATAACAGAAATATGAGCTTCAATCGCCATTCCTGAGGAAACAAGCCTCATTCCTTGACCTCTTTCGAGTCACGCAGTCATAGCACACGCAGTCATGGCACTTGTTCCACACATTCAGCTTTAATTATGCCACCTCCGAGTATTCACCAACGCTGTGCACTGTCGCCAACGTGTGGCAGCACTGTGCACTGCAGCATGAGTGCTGAATCGTCATGCTGAATGCAATCCTTCTAGCATCAACACAACAGTGGCTACGTCACTTTTTCCATTTGCTTATTGCGCCGTCTTATCTCCAAAAGATAGAGCTCCTATGGCTGCCTCTTCCTTTCTGTTCCACCAAGAACATCCAGCCCAGTCTGCTGCTTGACTCACACTCGAGATAGTCGACCGCAGTCCCCGTATCACGACATCTAAGTGCATCTATCGACGTTATTCCGCCTCATTCCTCTTCTATCCATCCACGTTACTCCATCACCGACGCCGACATCATCTTCCACCGTCATCTACCACTTGCCGTCGACCAGCATCCTCATCAGATCCAGGTGCGGCATCTCGAACAGCAGCGACCAGAGGAAGGCGGCGCCGAAGCTGACCACGCTCGCGGCGATCACCACCGCCACCATCAGA